CTCACCCACCCCTACCACCCCCCATCCCCCAAAAAAAAATTAAGTTTGTTTTTAAAAACTATTTTCAATTTCAAAAATTATTTTCTACTCTAGTAAAAATAAAAGATATTTCTCAAAAATATTTTTCATTCATAAATCAAACACTAAAAATCTTTTCCGAAAAATATTTTCTACTCACCAACCAAACATGAGAAAATAAGTCAAAAATTAACTTGTTTTCCAGGAAAACATTTTCCTTCATACCAAACACACCCTAAGTGTAATTGAAAATTTCTAAGCACATTATTTATTTATAGAAGATATATATGGTTTGCTCATTCCGTAAGATAATTGGGGAAATTTTAATATTTTATACTACTTGTGAATTTTCATGTTTATCGTAAAAATACAACTTAGGAACTCCAATTTGAATGTCCAACAGAAACTTCACATTCATATCTATCTAATTTCAAATCATGATTTTATATCTCATATCCAGCGCGTCCATAGTGGACATTTGGTCATGAAAATCATATATTTTTCATTTAATTTGAAAAAATTAAAGTTAAATTTGTGTTTGATCATACTCACACAAAGAATTTTTAGAATTTAAATACATTTTTTCTTGATATAAGTTATACCGTCAAATTACTAAAATTTAGCAAAATCACTTAACTTGACTACCTGAAACATGTATATAATCAAACCTGATCTAAGCTTGAAATAGATAGTACATAATGTCATAAAGTGAATCTCATATATGAGCTACTACATACCATTATAAATATTCTTCACTTTATTTAAAAAATTTGAAGTTGGAGTTGAAGATGATTTGGTTATAATTTTTACAAATAATAATCGGTTGTTTCAATATATTTTTTCTATAAAAGAAATATCTTAAATAAGGTCATTTTTATATATAAAAATAATTAAAAGGACAAAAATTGAAGAAAATAATTAAATAGTAAAAGTGAAAAGGATAAAAAGAAATAGAATTTTTGATATTTTCATGATCAAACACTAATTTTTGAGTAAGTTAAAATAATTTTTAGAAGAAAAAAACGCAAAAAATCATGGTCAAGCGGGTGGTTTCAAATTTCATTATTATAGTTGGTATCAAATATTTGATTTATCAAGTATTGAAAGTAAAGATTCTTAGGTGAATTCAAAATTCTAGACATTACATAAAATTATAAAAATTACAATTTTATGTTATATGTAATTATTTCTTAAAAATAATAATTTTGATTGTTAAATTGTACAAAAAATAATCAACATTCTATAATTATTTTTATTGATCAATATTTGATTTGGTGATTCAATATTTAACTTTTAAGTTGATTCATTAATCTTTTTGAGTCAAATATTAAATTCATTTATTAAGAAAAGGGAGAAAATACATAAAAAAAACCCTGAACTTGGCACGAAAACTTACTTTAATACTTCAACTACACGGGTGTTTATATACCCCCCTAATCTCATTTAAAGTGAATAAATACCCCCTTAATGCTGACGTGGCATAACGAAAATAGTTAAGCGCATCTTTCTTTTTTATTAAAAAATTGGTCCCACTAATATATGTATTATATAATTAAAAAAGAAAAAAAAATCATCCACCCGGCCACCCCTACTTTCATCTTCTCCAAACCCACCCACCCCCAATCCCCTTTTTCTTCTTCTGCAAATCCCCCCCACCCCCAGCCCTTTTCACTTATTTTTAACCCCCTTATCTCGCCCTTTCTCCTTCTTCGAACACCCCCATTGTACCCTACCTCACCTGCATCTTAATCTTCATCT